TATAATTTCTATGCTAGTGAGACAAGCATCCATCCATCCATGATGGAGACAATACCCTGAATAAAGGCTTGAAGGTAAAAATGCTTCTAAGCTTAATGTTTCTTAAAGCTTCTAATGTTTTTGAGAATTATGGAGTTGATCAGGTTAGTTGCTTCTAATAATGTTTTATTTAGCAAGCATGTTTGTAAATATTAATTTGTGTAAAATAATTTTATAGTATAAAATACTGACTTGTACAGAACACTCTACACAACAAGCAAAAAAAGATGACATCAGGGTAGTTTTAACATTACCATAAACTGTAATTCTTTACTTTCTAAGATATAAGAAGACAAGTAAACATGATGTAGCTTATATTTAAAAACATATATGTGAGATGCATTGGTGACTCGGTTGGTTGAGTGCCCAACTATTAATTTCAGCTCAGGTCATGATCTCAGCGTTGTTGGATCAAGCTCCAAGATGGTCTTCATGCTAAGTCTGCCTGGGATTCCATCTCTCTTCACTCTGCCTCCCCCCTTTACATGCTTTCTCTCTCTCTCTAAGTAATTTTTTTTAGAATCTCTTTTTAAAATATTTTATTTATTTATTCATGAGACACACAGAGAGAGGCAGAAACATAGGCAGAGGGAGAAGCAGGCTTCCTGTGAGAAGTCTGATGTGGGACGCGATCCAGGACCCCGGGGTCATGACCTGAGTCAAAGGCAGGTGCTCAACTACTGAGGCACCCAGGCATCCCTAAAAATAAATAAAATAATTAAAAACAGAATAAAATTGTATGCACCTGGCTTGTGTATGTCAGTCTCTTTGTATAAGGATAAGAAAAGCCTTTATCCCCCCTCATGGATGGAAAAGATCATCAGTCCCTATAATGGACATGACTGATTACAAATTGGTATAATGGGAATATTTAGGAGGTGTTTCTTATCTGCTTTAGTGCTTGGTTATTCTTCCTTCCATTTTGACCAGTGTGAATTGTAGTGTATAATCTGCTGATCACATTTTGTGTGTGCGTGTAAGTGGTGGAAGAATTATTTCATCCTCACAATAAGTTTAATCTGCATTTCTCCTCAAGGTTGTAAAATTACACTAAAAAAAACTAAACTAAAAACTAAAAAAAAAAATAAAGGTCATAAAAATAGCTGGGAAAGAACAAGATGCTGCGACATCATGTTAACTCTATAGTTAGGAATGTTGCATTTGAGGAACTTTATAAATTTCAGAAAAAGTAAATCTAAGATATTTGATACCAGATTAGGCTGGTAAAATATGTGTATAGATAGAAAGGATAAGGAGATGGCATTCCTATGCTACTGAAAGTGCATGAAATAAGAAAAGAACCATTTTTGTGAGGTTCTGCCTGTGGATCTCACTGAGCTGTTTTCAAAATACTTGTGCTTAAAACAAAATGCTGCATATACTCTTTTGGTTAAAAGCCAAATATAAGATGCGATTTTATAGGTAAAGGAAAAAGTAAACAAGTAACTGAATTTGAAGTATTAATAGTATTTCTTGTTGTTTGGTTATACTCTGTACAGTAAGATGAAACGTTTCTTCTCTGTACTTCTTGCTGTTAGCAGAAAGATGAACTGCTTCTTTTGTGCGTTTCCTTTCAGTGTATCTTAATTCAGCATGGAATGACTAATTCACTATAATTTCTATAGGTTTCTGCTATTTCTTAAGTCAGGTTTAATGTTTAAGGCAGTCTTAAATGTTCTCTCAGGTAACAGTAAAATGCTTCCATTAAAAATGTGGTACTGATACTCAGCAGAAGTCAGTAATATCACCTACTTTAAAACAATGGTGATTAGAAACTTTTCTTTTAAAAGACCCATTTAGAATCCATGACAAGCTAATGTATCTTTATACAAACATACATCACTTGTTTGTGAGTAGACATTTAGATTATCTGGTTTAAAATGAATTGATTATTTCACTTCCAATTACAGTTACATTTGTATCACACTTTCCAACAAAGTGCCAAAGAAATTTGTATATCTAAATCTGATAGTATTTTATTTCCATGTAATGATTAATCTAGATTCTCACAATTATGACAAATTAAAACGAGTATTCATGACTATGACTTAAAATGAGCAAAATACATCTAATACTTATTGTCTAAAATTTTCACAAAAAGTTTATTTTTTTTAGATTTTATTTATTTATTCAAGAGAGACACACATAGAGAGAGAGGCAGAGATATAGGCAGAGAGAGAAGCAGGCTGCATGCAGGGAGTCCTATTTGGGACTTGATCCCGGGACCCCAGGATCACGCCCTGGGCCAAAAGCAGGCACTCAACCACCAAGCCACCTAGGTATCCCACAAAAACAGTTTCTGAAGTAGATTTCAATCTGATTCAGAAGTGATACACAAGGTCAAAAGTTAACCTCTATATTTTGTTATATATATATATATATATATATATATATATATATATATATGATTTTATTTTATTTATTCATGAGAGAGAGAGACGCAGAGACACAGAGGGAGAAGCAGGCTCCATGCAGGGAGCCTGTCGTGGGACTCAATCCCGGGTCTCCAGGATCACGCCCTGGGCTGAAGGCGGCGCTAAACCGCTGAGCCACCCAGGCTGCCCTATATTTTGATTATATTAATAAAATATTAAAATACCCTGACTGGGCACCTGGGTGGCTCAGTTAATTAAGCATTTGCCTCCAGCTCAGATCATGATCCCAAAGTCTTGGTATCAAGCCCTGAATCGGGCTCTCTCCTCAGTGTGGAGCCTGCTCTCCCTTTGCCTTTGCCTGGCAATCCACCTACTTGTGCACTCTCTCTCTTTCTCTCTCTGTCAAAGAAATAAATAAAACAAAATAAAAATCCTGACCAATAGATATGCAATAATATAATTAAGGAATACTTTATATATCAATTTAAAAAATTTTTCGTCCTTTCCCATGCTCTTAGCCTCAGCAGATAAAGTATACTTAGGAAATAGAAAACAAGGGCTTGAAGAGGCTGTTCAAAGTTAGTAAAATCCATACAAATATAAGAGAGCAGAGACAAGAGAAAGCTAGGTTCACACAAAAAGCCTGTTAGACACTCTGCCTTTTCTAGTGAAAATTAATAATTGTGTCCCCATCCTGAGGCCACCTAAGATGAAGCAAAAGTAACCTGCCACACTTGTCAGAAATGGACAAAGTTCACCCTTGCTTTATCATGTATTGACTATAATAATGCATGTTTAATATCATGATCTGTCTTTCATTAGACGGCTTTGGGCTTCAGTCATAAATGCATAAAATCAGCAGAAGTGTCATATAAAATGTCTGCTTCTATGTATACATATGAGTATAGATATAAACATGTATAATTGTGTCTGTATATATAGCTTATGTCTATCTTTATATATGTGTATACATAGTACATATCTTTATATATGTGTGTACATAGTAATAAATACTGTATTGTATTTACATGTGGAAAAAAGACATTTTAATAAACACAATTTTATTTTTGTATTTACACACTACAAAGAATATTATAATCAAGAACAATATTATGAAAAAAAAGAACAATATTATGTGTAGGGGGATAAGTATGTGGATATGTATGTGTAGTCATTTCTTTATTGTGTTATTGACCCTGGGATGTATGTCTTTTTTGCCCAGAGGAAATTCATTTGGTTCACTCAAAAAGGCAAAAAGTACATTGTCCCAGTATTTATATTTTAAAAATAGACAATTTAAAAATGTGTTCCTGCTTAGAACTAGCAGAATCAGAATGAACACAAATAAAGCATATGTGGCCATATGGGAAAGAATCTCCCAGATTTTCAGTGAAGTCCTCATAAAATACTTTTATTTCCTATGGGTAGAATTTCTGAAAGGCACTATCCCATAATGATTTAGAGCAGACATTGGAGTCAAGACTCTGGCCCTTGTTCCTTTGAAATATTACTTGCACTGAAACTTAATTTTCATAACTGTATGTGTATATAGTAGTATGTGTATCACATAATAATTTTAAGCATTGAATGAGATTCTGCAATATAGAAAATGATTATTAGAAAATGTTAAGTACTGTTTGGATTACAGCATTTAAAAATAAGAAAACGCTAAGATTTATAGAAAATTTACTATTCAGTGAGCAAAATTTATTTACATTTTACATGGATAATCTTACTTAATGCAGTTAATATCCCTTACAGATAGATACTATTATTAGATTTTACAGATGGTGAATTGAGGGTTTAGAATTTGAATCCCATGTTCAAGGTCCTATGCTTAACAAGTGGCGTTCAGAATTTGAAATCAATTTACTCCTAGAATGTGTTTAACCAATACCCTGCTGACATGCAATCATTCAAATAGAAGTTAGCCACAACTCTTATCATCATTATTATTGTATGTGAGTGTACAGGCCATAATTATCCACTAGGATTTTTGTTAATTCTTCAGGGAGTATTCCCCAAATTACCTCTCTCAAAGGCTTGTATGTGTCTAAATTTTCTATAAATATTATTAAATTTGCTACCATAAAAGATACTTAAACCCTTGTTCAAAATAAAAAGAAAGGAAGTAAAAAGAAAACTGAAAAATAAGTTAAGATCACAATAGAAGTCTGATTTCCTTTACACTGTGTGAATGGCTCTCAAGAAGTTTCCTGATTTTATCTCCTATTATTTAGAAAAATATTCTTCAAACTATGAACTCCTAAAGATACCATGATATGAAACATCTAAAGTATTAGCCACTTTGTTCTGCAAAAGCTTTTTGGACTTACATTGTCTTTCAAAGCTTTTCCTGAAATAACACTTTGATGTACTATTCATCATTTCCATTTGGAAGAAGTAACTACATTCCTGCTTAGCTATTACACTGCTTCCAGTACAATGTGTTTCAGTAACAAATAAAGTGCATGCTTTAAGTGGAAGTATACATTTTTCAAATACATACGTCTCTTTGGCATATTTCCAGAAAGTATGACAGGATGTTTATGTTATTGTTTAATGGCAACACTCACTTCTTTCTAGGAGCAATTTTTGATGAATCTGCCAAAAAGGATGATGAGGTGTTTCGCACAGCAGTTGGTGACCTCAACCAGAATGAGGAGATTTTACAAACTGAAAAAATCACATTTTCGGTGACATTTGTTGATGGAAGCAACCCTTTCCAAGCAGTTCAAGAAGGTAAGGTCTAACAGCAGTTCAGTTTTTATTTTGTTTGTGTTTTGGTTCAATTTAAATGGCGATAAAATTAGATTTGTAAAAGGCCATCAACATGGACATCATTTTTGCATCTTTGCTGCATTGCTTTTCTTCAACAATGCTTTTTGTAGATGTTAATCCTGAATTCCGCTTCTGAAAGGGTAGGGTGTGGAAAGTTGCTTTAATTGAAGTATATGTAACAATGAACATAGTATTTCCAGGAAAAGTTTTATAATATTTTATGACCGCAGTGTACATTAAGTACTCCTTACAACTATGACTTTCTATCTAGATTTTTAGCTTTGACTTTTTTGAGATAACGGCCACCTTGAGTGTCGTTACAACATATGATGGCATTTTCAGTGTATTCATGACAAATGCATTGGTGGAAAGAAAACTTGTAGGCACTACATGCAAATCAAAGATTTAGCACTGGAGTAATTTTTTTACTCTCTACAGTATGCCAAATATTAAAGCATTTGCCTCCATTCTCTCTGTATAGTTGAATGAATTAACATTTTTCATAGGGACAAATCATAGAAATACAGATAATTTTTATTATACTGGAATGATCATTTGTATGAATGAAGGTTTTGATTGGAAGATTTATGGGTAATAGAATTTTATTTTTCATGCTCTAATTCTAATGAAATAGCCTTTTGATTGGCAAAGCACTCATTGTTCATGAAATTATTTGCTGCTAATCTAGTTTATGTTTTATTGTGACAATGTATATAGACTAAAGATACCAATACAACGTTTAGTCAAATGAAGCACTTGTTTCATTAAAAAAATTAAAGTGGGTTTGGCAGAAGAAAAGACAGACAAGATATTAAAAGTACTAAAGTTTGGCAGGAAAATTTTAGAGACAAATATTGAAAGGATAAGGAAAATAAATATAAATGTTTTTAAAAATATAAAGAAGAAAATGCCTTTCATCTAATGTTGCATCTGCATGATATACAGGAAACCTTTACTGGAATATGCTTTTGGCCAGAAGCATTGACTACTGTTGAACTTATTTATATTTACTTGTGTCAGTAAAAGAACACGTAGAATGATGCGATGTAATGAATTTTCCTTCTTAATAACTTGATTGAGTGAAGAAGTATTATTTTACTTCTTTATTATTGAAATGAATAGAAGCGTTTTAGTAAGAGATACTTTTGCAAAGAATATGATGCTTATTATGATAGAGAATCTTGATATTTGATAATATATGCCAATTTAAAAAGTTTAATGAAAAAGTTTAGTAAAGACATCTAGTTATTTTTATTTTAAAATAAAATTGTTATGGAAATATAGGATCTGCAAAAAGTATGTGTTGGTAAATTTTCTGTTGAAACATTTAAAAATGTTAATTTAATATTATGATTCATAAAGCAAAATGTGAAATAATAAAGTAGAATTTGAGGAAAGCCCAATAATGTAAAAGAATATTATTCATTTGACTCTTAGTTTTAATGACGGGAATGAGAGCAGGAAAAAAATAAGGACAAATCTATTTTTGTGTTTTTCTTCTGATCACCTATTAATAATTATAAATTAACTTTGAAGACATGCTAAAATATCCATTCCTTTTAAAACGGCAATTTGAGAAGTTTGGAAATAAATAAATGAAGACAACATAATGGATAGAAGGGAATTACAAAGTCTGAATAAATACCTCCCTCATGCCTCTTTTAGAGACTACGATTTGAAAAGTGAAGACAATTTTTAAAATACCACAATTAATCTGTTCACATATTGCTTTGTGTAGCCATTCTGCTGCCAGCTCAATTCTGGACGTAAAAATCTCTCTCAAAAAGAACTGCTATGACTTGAAAGAATTTGTGGTGCATAAAGCAAATTAAGAGAGGAAATAATTTTTAAGTTTCAGAGACAGAGACCGCTAGATATTTGTCAAGAAAGAAGAAAGAGCTTGACAGTATGCTTGATGGTTTCTGATACTAACAGGATGTTCTAGACCAGTTATTTTGATGGCCTGCTTTAGGTAATGAACCTGAAATAAGTTCTAGGATGCACTGGAACTACTTTGTTTCCACATACAATATGAAGAAAGATCTTGGCTAATTTTAGAAATAAAAATAATTCTTCTAGAGCTCTTTCTGTAATTGATTGGTTTGGGAAAAAAAGGGTAAAATATTCAACTGAAAAAGAATAAATAATTCAGGGGTATTTCGTTAAATGTTTTGAGAAAGTAACTTAGGAGAAAAAAAAACCTCAGTTGTGCCATCGAGAATGGCCAGTTTTTCTACGATCCTGTCTTTGCTGCAATACCATTAAAATCTATAACACACAGTCTTAAATCAGCTTCTTTTTTACATTCTACAGAAGGGCAAAGATTCAATGATAGTTATTATTGATTTTTTACACATTAGCACTCCTGGTGAACTTCTAAAAAATTCATGGTTTTGAGTTTTGTTTTTTATTTGTTTGAATTTGAAAATCTGATCCTTGAACAAACAGCATCATCAAGGATATAGGTATTTGGTAATAATAAAGAAGAAAACTAATAATCTGAAATACTCAATTTATTATTAGAATTTCTTCTAGCCAGCCACATTTAGGAAATTACTTTTATTTTTACAAATTTAATATTTTTGTTTGTTTTATCTTTCTACTATCAGCATTTAATGAGAGAAGGATTTAAAGATAAACAACTTATTAACACTTAAATAGGGTTAGAATATTGGTGCTACTAAAATCCTCCTTTGTAGCTTTGGTTACAGTAAGTTTTGCATTGTAATAATTATTTTTAATAATATTTAATAATTACTTTTACAATGAGTTTCTAGAAGAAGATATCTTGGTTATAACACAGGATTGATACTTCTTTCTCTGGAGATCAAAGAAGATATCTTGGTTATAACACAGGATTGATACTCCTTTCTCTGGAGATCAATGATTATATCGATTATCTTTATCATTATCCTTTAACATTAATCTCAGCACTATTAGGTAAATGAAATATAGTAAATAAATTCCTGTTTTTAGAAAAGTAATCTGGAATTAAACTATTATTCATCTTTTGTCCTCTGAGTTGTGGAATGTTAATTAGGGGCAAAGAATTTTTCATTCCTTAACTTGGTATAATTATTTTTGTCACTTTTTGGGTGGGCAGTATGTACACTATTTTGGTAGCTGGGCTAAAGATAAAATCATATAGATTATTTTTGAAAACCTTGAAAAATATACCGATGGAAAATTATATTAACCTTAGGTGAATGTTTTTCCAAATAGATGAAGTAATTGAGAGCAGTGGTGTTAAGTAATTCTTCCACATGGTGCAAGTGTATAGCAAGAGAAAGAACTAAACCAAGCCCTTCATACCACTGGCTTAGTATTTTCGTATATCTGTTAACCATATGTACATGAGAGAGAACACGCAATTTGTTTTAGGAATTCAGTAAGTACTCTGGAGAATAGAAAATTGTAGTAGATTTATATGTTTTGATAGGTACTATTAATGTTCATGGGTTTTAGATAGCATGGAATAGTAAAAATTGTCCAATCTAGTTGATCAATCCTAGTTGATAACATAAATTACTCTTGTTCTTTCATCCTTGGTTTTCTCATCTATGAATAATGAAAAACTCAAACACAATGCATTTTTAAGTAGTTTCATCTCTATAGATGAGTTGTTTCATGACTCTGTAGAACACATATCCAGTTTTAGAGATTTAGGATTATAGAAATGATAATTATTTAGTTTTTCTTTAGCAATGACTGAACTTGATGAAATTGTCTCATGGTTTTTCTGTGGCCTACTTCAAAATAAATTAATAGGATATATGATACCTGTCCTTGGTTCTGCTATCTCATATAACTATTCATTGCAACCTAAAGAAATCATGATCACCACAATCTAGAAAGGGCCTTTTGCAGATTCAGGTGACATGATCAATACAGCTTTTGCTTGGTTAGTTTCCTTACTCCTCCCTTATAGATTGTTGTCTGTGTGTCATCTGTAAACTGGCTAAAACATAGATGCATAAATCTATGGCGTGAAATACACTGATTTTCTCTACTGAAAGCAATAACAATTGTTGATATTGTTGGCTCCTAGTTGATACTAACACCACTGTGGTATGTGAAAGGTGGGGATTTATAAAAAAATAAGGTTAGGGGAAAACAAAGGGATAACATTTGTAAAAATGTTCACATAGGAAGTTGTATGCAGAAATAAGAATTCATGACTCTTATAATCATTGGATATATCAGGCAGGCTATAAAACAGCATCTATTGGTATTGAATGGCAAGATTCAGTTAAAACCTTTTAAAATATTTTCTCTTATTAGAAAACACCTAAAAATGAAATGTGCATAGTGATAAGAGTTTAAGGGCAGAATTATACTGTAGCATCACAAATAATTCTATTTGAAAGAAAAAAGGGCACCTATCTTAATTATTCTTATTTATGCTTTATCACAAACCATTTTAAATAAAATAGTTATAAATGCTGTTTTTAAAATAAAAAGCAGTAATGGTTAACATTGTTCATCATCTAAAGTTTCAGCCTTCAAATTACTTCAAATTACTCCTTTGTATATCCAACATGAATATTAATTGTTCGCAAAAAGTCTTTTGTAAAAAATAAACATCTTACTTTAATACAGTGATAATTTTAGTCAAATTTGCCTCATATATCTTCAAAGTAAAATTCAGTATAAAACAACGTGGCTTCTTTTATTTATGGTTTGTGGAATTAGTCTTATTTCCTTCTAGTTATATATAAAAGACACATGCTTTGTATCATGTGTGTAAAGGGGTAACAGGAAATCAGTGGAGCCAAAAAAGTATGTAAGAAAGTATAACTAGGGAAATGTACTTCTCCAAAATACATCACCATTTGCTATGAATATTTGCTATGAATATTTCTGGTGCCATAGGCTAAATCTGAATAGTCTTGTTCAAAGAATGTGTAAATGTAAAAGATGTGGCTGCTCTGTTTGATGCTTTATTCCAAGGTTTAGTCACA